TGGGAGACACAGGCGTGGGAGACTAGCGGGTAGGACTCCCCAGATCTCAGTCCGCCTGGGAGCAAGCAGGGGCAGCGGCCTGCTTGGTGTGCTGGGGTTCCCCCCGGATGCTGGATCAGGCGGTGAGCCCACAAAGGCAGTGTGACCCAGGGGGGATGAGAAGGGACAGGGAGTGGATGCTTGCTGCGGTGCAGGCCTGCTTGGGGCAAGCTCCCTATTTCTTGCCCCGGTCTTCCCAGGCATCCCTGCAGGAGGGCCGCCGCCTTCACTGTGCGGACAAGGATTCTGAAGTTCCCAGTCACACAGCCAGCAAGTGGCAGGTCCAGGAGTGAGCTGGGCCTCCTTGCAACTAGTAGCTGTGCCGAGTTGGTAACAAACGCCCCTCCCGGGGTTCCTTGCTATTCTTTGAATTTTCTGTTTACAGTTTTAACACCCTGTTCATCATCAGGATCAGAACTTTGGTATTTGTGGTAAAGTCCTATCCTGGAAGTCCAGCTGTCTTTTCCTAAGCCTATGGCCTGCCCCGCCCCTGACCTGTGGGGCTCCTGAGATTCCATGCTGGAGTGTGGCCTTGGGACTAGCCACCAAGTGACGGCCCCTAGACTTTCTGCCAATCTTACCAACCACGGCATTGTGACCAGCTTGTTCAAAGGGAACACCTTCCCTTTGTTCTGGAAGTTCTTTTTTTTTTTTTTTTTTTTTTTTTATGATAGTCACAGAGAGAGAGAGAGAGAGAGAGAGAGGCAGAGACACAGGCAGAGGGAGAAGCAGGCTCCATGCACCGGGAGCCTGATGTGGGATTCGATCCTGGGTCTCCAGGGTCTCGCCCTGGGCCAAAGGCAGGCGCCAAACCGCTGCGCCACCCAGGGATCCCCTGGAAGTTCTTTTTATGAGCACTGTGCTCTGTAAACATTCGCTCCTTGAAAGTGTACATCATTTAATTTAAAAATTAAAGACAATCCAGGGACTCCTGGGTGCCTCAGTCTGAAGGGCACGCAGCTTTTGGTTTAGGTTCAGGTCGTGACCTCAGGGCCATGGGCTCAAGCCCTGCATCAGGCTCCTCTCTTAGTTCTTTGCAGGGAGCCTGCCTGAGATTCCATCTCTGCCTCAGCCTCTGCCTCTCCCTACCCTCGAAATACATAAATAAAATCCTAAGAGAAAAATGAAAGACAGTTCAGCTGCATGTGTTTTCTAGTGGGACCCAAAGTAAAATGTTCATTTTAGTGTCCCAAACCTGCCCCCCACAGTGGCTAAGTGGTGCCACAGTAAGGGTTAGTAAATACACACACATTGGAATCATGGTGCTCTGTTCTTGAAGGGAATGGTCCCACAGAAAAAGCACAGGATACAGTACAACATAAGGGCACCTGTTACAAATGAAGTGAGCAAAAACACACTAGCATTTTCTAATTGCATAATGAGGAAACCTGCATAGATTAGAGGGCCTTTTATGCTCATTTAAAAGTCAGGCAAGTTGTCTGTAATGCATTTTTCAAATAATTTGGAGAGCACTGCAATCCACTGTAGGATATGCTGATTAGTGTTGTCTTTGTTGGCATTGACAGTCTTATGTGGTCACATACCAATATTTTTGCTGTAGCTTTTGAGTAAAAGAGATTTAAATGCATTTAGACAATACATATCGAAAACTGTTTACATACACTAAAGCACTCAGAGCACTCACACCCAGGTCTCCTGCTTGCCAACCCCTGCCTGCAGCCCCCTCGTGTTATACCCCCAAGGGGGCCATTCATGGCACCTCCAGCACTGCCCCCACCACCCCACGTCTGACTAGCTTCGTGCAGAGCCCCCAACTCCCTTTCTCCCTCACCTCACCAAGCCTGGAACAATGCCTTTCTTTCTTTCTTTTTGTTCTTTTCTTTTTTTCTTTTCTTTTCTTTTTCTTTCTTTTCTTTCTTTCTTTTTCTTTCTTTTCTTTCTTTCTTTCTTTCTTTCTTTCTTTCTTTCTTTCTTTCTTTCTTTCAAAAATATTTTATCTATTTATTCTTGAGAGACACACAGAAAGGGCAGAGGGAGAAGCAGGCTCCCTGCAGGGAGCCCGATGTGGGACTGGATCCCAGGACCCTGGGATCACACCCTGAGCCGAAGGCAGATGTTCAACCACTGAGCCCCCCAGGTGCCCTGGAACAATGCCTTTAAAACCCAAGCTGGACACTTTCTGCACCTGGTCAAAGCTGCAAATGGCTCCCTCTGGTAGCTAGAATAAAGCAGCAAGTCTCGCCTTACACACCTAGTTGAGGATCTGCAGTGCTCCCTCCGGCCACTCTGCAGCCTCACCTGGACCCTGGGCCACACACCCAGTGCGGCCTGTCCCATGATTTTCTGCTGCCTTGCCAACTGGGCCGCCGTTGGGCCAGGCTCTTTGTGCTCACTGCCCTCTCTGCACAGAAGGCTCTCCCCAGCTCTTTGCCTAGCTCGTCCCCCCAAACCATGCAGGTGATTTGGTCAGGGGTCTCCCTTGCTCCCCGCCCCCTGTGAAAGCTCCTCCCCACCTGCCTCCCATCCAGGTGGGTCTCTCTCAGATGAACCTGCTTCCCTTTCCTCTGTGGCGCTTGTCACCAGGGGATATCCGATTGTGTCACTCTCTATGGACTGGTCAGTCTGAGGACTCTGCTGTCTGCCTCCAGCGCAAGTGATCACGAAAGAATTATCGAATGAACAGGTGAGGACACGCCACTGCAAGGGGAGGGGACTCATCCTTGTTGGCGGCCTCCCTGTGCTGCTTGGGGGCCCCTGTGCGAGGCCATTTATGAGCATTAGCTCGTTGGAGTTCTGTAATGACCTCGGGAGGTAGGTACTCATAATTCTGTTTTACAAATAAGGAATCTAAGCCTCCAAATATCCAAGGGAGACCACACAACTAGTGACAGGCAGAGCCAGGTTGGACGCCAAGTGGGCCTGCAGCCCGAGACCAAGTGCCACCACCCTGCTCTATGGGGATCCCAGGCATCACTCTGAGACCCGGTCATGCCTGGCTTGATGGCATCTCTGCCCAGAGGTCCCCATGATGTTTTCACCCCAGAATTTGCCTCCTTCGTTATAAATGACCCTCCCTGATTTGTTTCTGGTTGCCCTTCCTCTCTTATGAATTTTGGTTCTCCACACTAAATCTCCAAGAGTTCTTGCCACACATCACCGTGCAGGGGTGCAGTGAGGAGGGACGCACCCCCGTCTGCTAGTGCATTAACCTCCGGGCCGCCTGGCCTCCATCTCGCTGGCAGAGGAGGCCGCTCCAAACCCAGTCCGTGGTGCAAGATGAAGCCACTTCTTGGGGATCATTTTAGCTAAAGACTCTGTGTTCCATATTCATGATGAAATGCAAATTTCCATGTTCATGGGCAACCAGTAGCATGGTACTGGGAAAGAGTTCCAGCTGGTTAAATTTAGGGTCCTGAACAAATTCCAAACCAAGAATATTTTTTGGCAAGTGCCATAGCATTTTCATCTGATGGCGAACGGGATTTTTTTATTTTCAATCCTGTGTGCCCTGGCTTCTCAATAATCGGTTCTTCTGCGAGGGCCAAGTGCCAGTGGCTGTGCTGCCTCCATGGCGCCTCCCCTGTGAGTTATTCCATCCTGGCTGCTACAGAGAGAGAGAGCAAGAGAGAGAGCGAGAATGAGAGCAAGAGTGAGAGGTGCCTCTCGATCCTGACAGTTTGGGAAACGGGATAAGATGTGTACGTATGTTCCGACTCCTTTCATCCCCTCCAGTCTGGTTCTTCCTCCCCATGCCCACAATGCCATGCTCTCTCTGGGAGCCTGTGTAAGAGCTGGGTTCTAGAAAGTTCTCCCTTCCTGCCTTTAACCTTCTCCTTTGGCTTAGATTGGTTACATGCTCACCCTCTGGATTCCTCCGCTGGCTGGCCTTTCTGCTTACCTCCCTCTCAAGCTCCCAGAGTCTGTGTGACCCTCTCCCCCCCCATCCCGCCCACTGGCTCACTCAACCCCTTTTGCTCTGGGAAAACAGGGCTACCAGTCCTGGACACTCCCTGTGTGCCAGGCCCCTTTCCAAGCCCTTTATAAGAAAAACTCATGGAATCTCCAAACAATCTTATGTGATAGGCACTCCCCACCTTATAGAGGAGGAATCAGAGGCTCAGAGACATTAAGTGACCTGCCCATGGTCACCAGGCTAGAGAAGGGGAGACCCCCGGGATACGGCCTGACTTAATTAATGGTGCTGCTGTTCTGCTTCATGACATCTGGTGTTAAGAACAGGCACAGGGAAGGAGGGCGGGGGATGGGAGTGAATAGGTGACGGGCACTGGGGGTTATTCTATATGTTGGTAAATTGAACACCAATAAAAAATAAATTAAAAAAAAAAAAAAAGAACAGGCACAGACAGGGCGAAACAAACCCAGGTGTATGGCTAAGCCCCGCCCTGCTAAGGACCCTAGGCAAATCAGATCATCACACCAAGCGTCTGTTTCTTTGTCTGTAAAATGGGCTTGAATTTGTTCCTCTCTCATTGGGTGGTTTTAAACGATGAAATGTGAGGACAGCTAGCAGTGAACCTGGTGCCACGCAAGTCTTGGTCCTCTTTGCAGAGCCCTCAGTGTGGCCCTGGGCTGTGTGAGCAAGAGACCTGCATGGAGGGTGGGCAGCCACATGGCAGCATCCTGGATCTGAGTCCAGTCCACCCAACCTCTCACCCCATACCCCTGTTCATGTCCCTCTGCCACATGGCCATCTGTTTCTGAAACTGTTCTGGCTTAGCCAAGGCAAGAAAACTTGGGAGGCCTCAAGCCCCATAAGGAGAAAAAGCTGTTCTGGAGAAGTAGGAAGCTTGTGTTCAATGGCTTCACCCTCCACAAGCATCTGCGACGCCCCTTTTCACGGGCACGTGTGCACACGTGTGTGAGTTGCATCCAGGTGCACACACTGTAAGTGGACTCCCACGACCGAAGCCTATTCTCCACCTTTCCAAAGGGGCCAGTCTAATCAGAAAGCAAATTCCAACACGCAGTCCAAAAGAAAATAACAAAACAAAAAAAACCCCAAACTTTACTTGCATTTAGCCGTTAATAAATAATTTACAATATGTACATGCGGTGACACTCGACACAGGTCGCAGACACAAGGACGCAGTGAGGAGTCCCCACTTCCAAGCAGAACGCGATCAAACACAACCAAAATAAAGTGCTTCACTTTTTACTTCCAACATAGGGACCATCTAAAAACCAGCAGGGCGGCTGGGGCCGCGCCTCCCACCTGCCGGCCCCTGCTGGGGCAGAGAGGGGACCTCTTGGAGGGGAGGCAGGGAGCCTCCTGGGCCAGTGTATGAGAGGTCCCTGGGGAACAGCAGGAGGGCTGCCAGGCTGGGGGGCCAGGTCGGTGTGGGGCTGTGGGAACCGCCCTCCCGGACCTTTGGGAGTGGAGCCCGAGCCGGCCTTGGCCCCTGGGCTCTCTGGAACAGCAGCAGAGGCAGGGACTGGTTCAGGGCTCCTCGGATGGGGGCCGGGGCTCTGGGTGGAAAGCGTCTCCGGGCTGTGTGGCCGCGGGCTGGAGGGCGGGGACTAGAGGGACCGGACCATCCGGGGATGCTCAGGGTGGAGAAGCTTGCAGACCCTGCTCCTCCGCCTCCCCAGCACGCGGACGTGGGTGGCCGGGTGGGGGGCGGGGCTTGGCGGGCAGGTGGGGAGAAGGGCGAGGATCAGGGCAGGCCAGCTGGCCCTGTCCACCGCGTCTCCCGCCCGCGCCCTGCGGGCCCAGCTCCCTGCCCAAGGGCTCTTGCCACCTGCTGGAGAGAAGGGAACAGGGATCAAGGGCTAGAAACGAGGACGTGAGCTCCCAAGCACAGTGGACAATGGGGGGGCCGGGGAGGCCCGTCCGGGGCCACGAGTGGCGTCGCTCAGACCTCGTGCTGACAGCACCGATGCCCCTGGGGAGCCTGCGGCCGGGGCCCAGAGCCGGGACCCGGGCGCGGACACAGGCCGCGGGGCTGCGCGCGGCCGCTCTCCGGGCCCCGGCGGGCGCCACCTGCTGGTCAAAGGGGTTACGGCCCGCCGGAGGCGCCGAGCAGCCGCCGCCCCCGGAGTCGTCCCAAAGCCCGAGGGGAAAGGAGGCCCTGCCTGGGGCGGGGGGGGGGGGGGGTCCAGCCTCGCGGAGGCCTGGGCACCTCGGCCTAGTGTGTGCGAGTGTGCTCGTGTGAGTGTGTGTGTGCGTGTGGCGGGCGCGGGCAGCAGTCAGCTGGGCCTGATTCAGTGCATCGCTGGGGTGGGGAGGAGCTCGACTCTGATCGGTCCCAGGGTCTCCCAGTGTCTCCGGGGGTGGCGCGGGCGTGGGGGCTCGGGCCTGAGGGGCTGTTTTGCACATTCACACTGCGGGGCGGGTGGAGGGGAGCGGCTCCCCCCTCGCACAGCTCAACTGTCACGGACGGCACCGCACCAGGCCCCCCACAGGCAGGGGGTGGGGAGCGGGGGCTGGGGAGGTCGCCCCGTCCACAGCCCCGCGGCCGCCTCTGAGCTCCGCAGCCGCTGCAGGGCGTCCCCGGCCCCGCCCCCCCCCCCGCCCCCCGCCTCCGCCCCGGGCCTGGGGCCTGGAGCGCGCCCTCGGGGCCTAGGCCCGCAGGAAGGCGGGGAGCAGGGCCAGGAGCGCGAGGCTGCCCAGGCGCGGCCGGGGCGCGGCGGCCCGGCCCGGCGGCTCCCGCGTCCTCTCGTACAGGTGCAGCCTGTCCTTGTTGGAGTGCAGCATCTTGACGTCCTCCAGCGCGTAGTAGGCGGCCAGCGTGAAGTTGAGGTCGCCGGTGGTGAGCAGGTCGAAGACGCAGGCCTGGTAGTACAGGTCCTCCACCGGCAGCTTCTCCTTGCACTTGGCCGCCGCCGCCTCGTAGGGGAAGGTGTCGGCGGCGGGCGCGGGGCTGCGGGCGCCGGGGCCCGGGAAGTCGATCTGCTGGTTGAGGGGGCAGCCCCGCAGGCAGAGGTAGAGGCCCTGGCCGTCGCGGTCCTCCACGGCGTGGACCACCTCCTCGGGCATGCGCACCGCGAACGTCAGGTAGCGGCCCACCTGGCGCACCACGATGGTGGTGCCGATGTACTTGGCCTGGATCTCCACGTGCTGGCCCGACACCTTCTCCGTGATCTTCAGACTGTTGGCCCCGTGCTTGTCCCCGCCGTTCTTGGAGCCGTCGGCGAAGGCGGCCGGGAGCTCGTCCATCTCGGCCTGGTACACCTTCTGGTCCACACACTCCTGGAAGTTCTTGAAGATGATGGTGAGCTGGGGGGGAGGGGACGGAGACGGGGTTAGTGGTGCCGCAGGGCGTGTGCGGGGCCCCGGGGCGGAGGAGCCCCCCCCCCCCCCCGCCCCGTGCCCCAAGCCGCCGGCCCGTTTCGGTCACCTTTTGGTGCCACCGGCATTATTAAGCACTTAACAGCTTTCTTTAAAACAACGTGTTTTACTATAGGACAAAGGGGGTTAAAGGAGAGAAAGAACAAACCAAGAAACAGACTCTGAACTACGGAGAGCAGACTGACGACGACCGGACGGGAGTGGGGTGCGGGAATGGGGGGGCACGGGGAGGGGATGAAGATCATACTTGTGATGGGCACCGAGTGTGGTATTAAGTTGTTGAATCACTGCATTGCACGTCTGAAATTAAAATTACACCGTGTTGGGGGCGCCTGGGTGGCTCAGTGGGTTGAGCATCTGCCTTTGGCTCGAGGTGTGATCCTGCATCCCAAGATCAAGTCCCGCATCCTTCTCTCCGTGGGGAGCCTGCTTCTCGCTCTGCCTATGTCTCTGACTCTCTCTCTGGGTCTCTCATAAATAAATAAGTAAATAAGTAAATAAATAAATAAATAAATAAAATCGTTTAAAAAAATTACACCGTGTTGGAACGATACTGGAATTAAAAAACTTGGTTAAAACAAACAAAACAAAACCAACTTTTTTAAAAAAGAGAAAACTGACTTAGGAGGGGAACTTTAGATCACTACCCTAAATAGAAAACCAGCTCATTTACTATATATAGAGGTGAACCATAAAAAGAAAAGCACAGCTAATTAAAAATAAAACTTCATTATCTATTGTAGTAGGCTGAGTAATGGCCTTCAAGATATCAGGCCCTAATGCCAGGAACCTGTGAAGGTTACCTTATATGCAAAAGAGACTCTGCAGATGTGTTTAGGTTCAGGATACTGAGATGGAGAAGTTATCCTGGATTATTTGGGTGGGCCCTGCATACAAGCACATGTGTCCTCCTAAGATGGAGCCAGAGAGAGGTTGGACCATCAAAGACGGAAGGCTCTTTCCATGGAGGCAGAGCCTGGAGGGGTATGACCATAGCCCAGGGATGCTGGCAACCACCAGAGGCTGGAAGAACCTTGAACATACTCTCCTGGAAGCCAAAAGCACTGACCCTGTTAACACCTTCATGTTAGCCCTGAAAGACTCAGTTTAGATTTCTCACCTCCAGAGCTACAAGAGAAGACATTTCTGCTTGTTTTACTGACTTCGTGGTATTTGTTACAGCAGCAACAGGAAACTAATACGGTCCACAGCCATCTGACATGGGACTTACAGCTAAATGCCTTCAAAAGGACTGTAAGCCATTGGCTAAAGGTAACAGCAGGTGGAAGAGGAGATTTTGTGCCCCAGGAAAGAACAAGCAGGCAGAGGCCACTGTGGCAGGGCTGCCCTGAGAAGTCACCTGGCCAGGCCCTGGAGGGAAGCAGGGGGGAGGAGAGGAGAAAGGCACCAGAGAAAGGAAGACAGGGGATGGGGGTGGCGGGGGCTCCAGGCTGAGCACGCAGCTCTGGCCAGGGCAGGAACAGGGATGCCGATTTCTGCTCGTGGCTGCAGCCGGGAGTGAGGGCCTGGGTGAGCTGCTTGAGGAGAAGCAGATGGCTGGGCGGCTCCACTAGTAACCATCCTCCTGTGAACCACAGACACAGGCACGGTTCTTGCATCTTCTAGTTCTGTGTGGTGTGGCAGGGGAGGATGACATTACCTCCCGTTTAGAGTGGAGCAAATTTAGCCTCAGAGAGGTCAAGTGACTTGCCCAAGGTCACACAGCCAGCAAGAGGTAGAGCTGGGTTTCATTCTCCTGGTTTCCAGCCCTGGGGCGCTTCTTGGCCACAAGCCCACAGAGTGGGAGGCCTGGGAGAAGGATGGGAGACAAATAGCCTGGGGAGTAAGCATGCTTCCCCTTGTTATCCTGGGTGAAGTGCCAGGCTGCTTTCTCCCCCCATCATCGTAACTAGGAAGACTGCATGGGCTGGAGACAGGAGTCACATTTGGGAGACAAACAATACCCTCCTTCATTCCTCTTCCCAGGTACCAGCTTTTTACCACTGGTGGCTTTAAGGTCCCTGCCCCCTGAGCCAAGGGCAGCTGGGACCTGAACTCCAGCCCAAAGCCAGGGAGGGAGGCTGTCTCATGGGGCAAGTGGTGCCCAGGCCCTTTGGGGCCCCCTGGCAATCCCCCACTCCTAACCCGTGCACTGCCCCCACCCCCTGGGCCACCATTCCTAGAACTTCTCCCTGCCCCCAGGAGGGAGAGGCCTCGCCAGCTGTCTAATGGGACCCCTGAAGGGTACCCCACATCCTCAGAGAGTCTGCAGCCTGAGGCAGGTCCCAGATGTCCTGGCTGTGGCTGGATTTTGTGCCTGGGCACCCTGGGCGATGTGGCAGTTGGAGCAGCACAATGAAGGCCTGGGACAGCCCTTGGCGTAGAGAGGACTGGCGGTGCCACCAAGCATTAAAGGAGTTTCTGGGCAAAAGGCACAGGGTAAGACAAAGGCAAGGCCCAGGCCTGCTGGAGACTGCAAGTGGGTCCTGTAGGCAAAGGGAGCCCAGAGAGCCGTGAGGGACCTCAGCTCAGGCCCAGGGTCCAGAAAGGCTGGGGCCCATGGCCGGGCCACAGGCCAGGCAGTGTGGCTGCAATTCAGGGGGCTGCAGGGGTGGCCAGGGGCACAGACAGGAGGACGAGGGGGTAGCAGGCAGGAAGAAGCCTCAGCCCGGAGCCTCAACCGTGGAGCTGAAGTTCTAGGCTGAGCAAACCAACAGGTCAGTGAGGGCCCGGCTGCAGGCGTCCAGGGCTGTCTCGTCACTGATCTCGGGTCCCTCCAGGCTGGTAAAGTGTCGGGGTGCACGAGGGGACTGGACCTTCAGGGAGAAACTCCCCCTTCTCACCCTGATACTCAAAAAGCTTAGGATGAGAGACAGGCTGCAGGTGGGTTTTTGGGGACTCCAGGCTCTTCGGCCTTTGCAGGCCCCTTTCTCCATCAAAAATATTAAAACTACATTTTGTTGATTGCTTTGGTGCGAAGACTAATATAGTCGAGGTTGGATTACGCTGATTTTTTCCTTCTGACTTTAAAACAAATTAAGGTCTTTTCGTGGCTCCCTGGAAGTCTTGGGGTCCCTGGTGCTGTGCCCGTGGGGCCACATGAATGGTCAGGATGGACGGGGGCACGTTCTGCTGTCTGCACGGGACACGAAGAGCTGGTGCTCCCAAGCTGGAAGCCGGGGACCCTGCCAGGAGCCTGGGGGTGCTACACGGGAGGCCCGGGCTGCACAGGGCACCCTGGGCACTGGACTCCATTTCCCCATCCTTCCCTCTGGGGCCACCGCCTGGTCCCGGGCGGCCGGGCCCTTCTGGTTTGCCGTGGGATGTCACAGGTGGCCGCAGCCCCTCCATCCTGCCGCGACGCTGCCATCCCTGGCCTACAGAAATGGCCACTTATTAGTTCCACCTCCTGCTGCTCCCTTCTCTCCATCCCACAGCTCCCGCCCTGATGTGGAGGCTGCCTGCGGGGGGCGGGGGGGGGTTTGCAGCCAGGGTGGTCTGGGCAGTGGGTGGTCCTGCCACTGGGGAGGGGGCGAGCGACGAGGGGCTCTGGTGTCCCTGCCTGGCGTGCTGGGGAGCGGGGCTGGGGGTGGGGGGTACTGCCTTCCAAGTGCATCAGTCTCCTGGAACAGGAAAGGCTGGTTTCCCTCTAACCGTCATCTCTCGTGGAGACAGGCTCCTGGAAGGCTGACAGCCTGCTAGACTCTTCTTGGCACCAGTGCCAGGGACTCAACCACAAGTAACAGCATGAAGGGGCCTGTCGAAAGCCGGGCGGCTGGCTGCCAGCACGGCCACGGGTGCGGCTGCCACTCCTGCCTTTGCCGCCCCCCCGCCCCCCGCCCAGAGCGGCCTGAGGCCCAGCACCAGGGGCTGTATCTACACAAGGGGGCCAGAGTCCAAGACCCTTGTCCTCAAGGAGCTCACACTCCGGGAGTGGGGGTGACAGACCAAAGAGATGAGTCAGGCGGTGTGAACAGATCGGTGGTAATTTCTAGGCGGAACCAGCAAGGAGGTGGGGGAGGGGACGGCAGACACACAAATTCCTCTCCCCCCTGAGCCTCGGTCTTCCGATCTGTACAATGGGGTGCTCCCAGTACAGCTGGAAGGAGGGTGGTGGAGTGGGGGCTGAGCAAGAAGGAAGGCCCACGGCGGCGGGGAGCTGGCTAATGTTTCACCTTGGGCTGGAAAACAGGACATCTTGCTCATCTATGAGGACAGAGGCCTGGGCTGGGCTGGATGATGCCGGTTTCATGGAAAAGGAGCTGAGGCCCCCTCGGGTGAGGAGGGGGGTACACAGGACAGTGGGTTCAAGTGGCCAGAAGGGGCTGGCAGAGGGCTCTGGCGGGGAGGTACGAAAGCCCCTCAGAGACAACAGCCTCCTGGCTTCCCGTGCTTCCCCTGAGGCTCCAGGCGGCTCCCCCACGCCTGGCCTGGCTCTGCTGTCTCTCCCCTGGTCTTCTGCTCCCAAGGACTTGGGAGGAAGCCCTCCCCAGTGCTCTGGGCAGAGCATCCTGCACCCACCACAAGCACCCCTCTGCCTGCCTTCGTTCCCCATTATCAGCCTGGGAGCGGCCAGGAGGGAGGAAGCACCCAGCGCAGAGGCTGGCACAAAAGAGGTGTTTCGTAAATGTTTGTTGAATCAATGAATGAACAAAACCAACACACCTGCGCAGCAGAGGCCTTAAAGAACAGGTGTGGGCAGGCCAAGGGCGCTGGAAACCAGCCACTGGCGGTTCTCACCCGGGGAACCCAGGCTGCCCTGAGGCCGGAGACCGACTTGGCCACAGACCCACCCTGTCACTGCTGGGTCTCCGGGGTCCAAGCCCCGTGCTGCCTCCTGGTCAATGCGGGTGTAAACGAAGGCCGCTGGGCAGGAAGGAGTGGGTCAAACTCTGCAGCAGAGCCCCTTGCTTTCTGGAACCTCCAGGCTGGGATGGGATGAGAGGGGCTCTCATCCCTGTGTGGGCACTTCCGCTGGCTGTGGCCCAGCAGCGAGCCTGGAGCAGAGTGGACATTTGAAGAACACAGACAGGTGACTGGATCATTAACCCATTTGGTTTTGGGACAGTGTCGCTGGGCTCAGGGTACCAGTGCATGCCAGTAAAGAGCTGAGGTTGGTATCCAGGGGTTCTAAGCTCAGGCACGTCGCCCCAGCCTGCAGGACCAGATGGGATGGGGCCTAAAGGCTCAATCCCCCCTATCACCCCTGTACTCTTCTCCCCCTGGTCAGTGGGGGCAGCAGCCCAGCCCCGCTGGTCACAAGCCACACTCCCTCTCAAGTCTGTGCTCTGCTCTGTTATCACATCTGCTGCTCACAGCACCCTGGGTGAAGAGGGGGCAGGGCTTCTAGAGTCCATGTTGCTCTCATATCCTCAGACTTGTCCGTGTGCCCCTGCCAGGGTGGACAGGGAGGCGGGGTCCCCTCCCGCAGTATGTTTGCTGCTGGATTTAGAAGCTGCAGCCTCAGGCTCCCGGCGTTCATTTATCTTGGCTCTAGGGAAGGAGGGAGGCGGGTAGGCTAAGGGCCCCAGGGAAGGCGGCTGGGTCTTTGACGTGGGCCCCCCCTCATTCTGCGGAGGGCTGGGAGGGCGGACAGGGTGGAGAGCGTGCTGGCCATGATTCTGCTGCCCACTAGGCTTCATGGCCTGGTGCCAAGGGCCTGTAAGGGCGTCCATGGGGCCAAGACCCGTTTGTTTCCTATCCTGCAGTGGGGCCCAGAAAGAGACCCTCTGGAGGCATGCAGGGCCACCAGGGCAGAGGGAGATGGCGGGGTTTTCCTGGCTGCCAGGTCACCTCACTGTCCTGCTCTGGGGCGTGGAGGGATAGGAAGGAACAGAATCAGCCTTGTGGACCAGTGTGCCGCTGCCCAATGTGCTGCCTTGCAACGTGCTTTTCCTAGGAAAACAGACGCACTGCCAACCCGGAAACCCAGGGGATCTGGTGGGCCAGACCCCGAGGAGGCCCATGTGTCCCCATCCTCTGCACCCTGAGAACCCACTGGCCTCCGGGCTTGAGGCTGCACCCTCTGGCTGAGTCTGAGTATGAGGTCAAGGGAGACCCTCCTGGAAGTAAGCAATGGTGAGGGGAAGATGGGGATGTCCAAGAGCCTGGGCCACAGGCCACATCCGTGGCTGCCTCTGGCTGTAGCCCCATGAGCAGGACTTGAGTCCTGCCACCCAGAGACTGAGGCCTTCTGGGGTCAGAAGATGACCGGTTCTCAGTGGCCCCTGGGGCTCCAGAAGGCAAATGAGAACATGCCCATCTCCACAGCCACCCAGCCCAGGTCAAATGCTAGCTCAGCATTCCCAGCCCACTGCACTTTGGGTGGAGAGGCACAGCCCACTTTTGGGATGTGTCAAAGGGAGCTGCCCCAGCCAGGCAGGGCTGGCACAAGGGAGGAGGGAAAAGCTGCATGGGTGGCCCCTTGGAGGCTCAGTAAGCTGCTTCTCTATCCTCACTTGCTCCATCTCCTTCTGCCCCCAGACACCACAGCCCGCCTGCCCTGGGCTGCAGCCTGTCAGTATAGGCAAAGAGAGGGCAGGATGGTACCCTGCAGCCTTGCTGGCCCCATCAACATCCTACAGCCCTGGCGTCTAAGCTGGTGTCCCTAACCCCTCCATGTGCCAGAATCACTGGGGGCTTTAAAAAAAAAATCAACACATGCTGACCCCACCCAGAGATCTGGTGTTATACCAGCCTGTAGGGAGGCCCAGGATCACTATCCTCTAAAATCTATTCAGTTTGGGGTGTGTGGGTGGCTCAGATGGTTAAGCATCTGCCTTCAGCTCAGGTCATGATCCTGGGGCCCTGGAATCAAGCCCCACATTGGGCTCCCTGCTCAGCGGGGAGCCTGCTTCTCCTTCTCCTTCTGCCTCCACTTCCCCTGCTCGTGCTCACTCTCTCTGTTAAATAAATCAATACAATCTTTTAAAAAAGAAAAAATCTGTTTAGTTTGTAAACGTACAGCCACCTGAGAACCCCTGGATAGGACCGTCCCCTGCAGGGGCTGTCGAGTCCACTTGTCCACAGCGGATGGGGTTCGTCCTTCCTGAGGGAACGATGGAGACATACCTGTAGAGAGGCTTCTCTTTTATCAAGTTTTAATACTGGAGTTCTACCAAACACAGTTTGGAGGCAAGAAAAGAACATTCCAAAAGCTTGAAACTGAGTGCTCTGGCAAATGTTTCTAAAATTTGCGGACAATAGTCCCAGTAAGAAATCCACTTTACACCTGGCCCCAGTATTCGCACAGCGATGCAAGCACACATACACGCATGCACACAACCCAAACTCACCCTTACCTTGCTGGTGGCGGTGGCGGCCGAGCCAGGCAGCACAGGTGTGTTGGTGACCTGCACGTTCAGGTAATTATTGTCGATGAGCGGCCAGGCGCCCTGCACCTTGCAGGTCTGGAAGCGGTCTGTGAAAGTCCTGAGGTGCGGGTCCCCAAAGAGGCCGCAGTGCGTGTAGTTGGGGGCCGCCGAGTGCTTGTGGAAGCTTTTCTCGTAGTGGCAGATCTCGGGGCTGTCGGAGCGCTCCTGGCTGTCGCTGGGTGGCGGGAGGGTGCGCAGGCGTGGCTGCGACGTGGGGCCATCCTTGGAGCAGTTGTACTGGCTCATGAGGTCCTCTATGCCATGGACGGCCGAGTGGTAGGCCAGGTCGCCCCGGCAGGTGCGGGCCGTGCGCCGCGTGCACAGGGCGTAGGTGCGCAGAGCGGCGCAGAACTCGGGGGCGTCGTCCGAGGCCGGGGAGTGGCTGCCCGCTGTGGCGCTCCAGAACTCAGAGTTGCACTTGAGGATCTTGCACGGGGACGTGGCTGTGGGGAGAGGAAGGGACACACGCTGTCAAGGGCAGCCAGCAGCCCAAGGCCTCCTGCCCCCGGGGGACATCTCAGCCCATGCTGCGGAGCTCCCCAAGTGGCACATTCACACCCTGAAGGCAGGTAATCCCCGCAGGTGGGAGGGCTGGGCTGCACCTGCCCTTCCCAGCCTTCTGCTCAGGGTGACCCCCCAGTGGGCGTCGGGCGCGCAGAGCCACCTGCTGCAAGGGCCAGGGGAGGCCCAGCCCACAGTTCCCAGCCTGTAAAGAGGACTGGTCAGTGTTTCTGGGCAGCAGGACTCTGGGAGCTGGGGAGCCACCCTTGGGTCTTTGACATCTGCTGACACTTTGACGGCTCTCCCCAAGTGTTTTGGCAAAAGCAACAGGCAGCAGCCTGGGAGTTAAGCCTCACTACTGGGTGGCCTTGTACAAGTCACCAGACTTCTCTGTGCCTCATTAGATTTACTTCAAAAGTGGGTAATAGGGATGCCTGAATGGCTCAGCGGTTTAGCACCTGCCTTTGGTCCACGGCATGATCTTGAGGTCCCGGGATGGAGTCTCACATCAGGCTCCCTGCATGGAGCCTGCTTTTCCCTCTGCCTGTATCTCTGCCTCTCTCTCTCTCTCTCTGTTTCTCATGAATAAATAAAAATAAAATCTTAGAAAAAAAATGGCTAATAGTAGTATGGGCCTTATGAGGTTGGTCAAAGTGTTAAAGGAGTAAGAATGGTACTGGCGTAGAGAACAAGGTCAGTGCACACAGGTTAGTGTGATTACTCTATGAGCTTTGGTCACAGAAGGCCTGGTTCTGGTCACCTTGTCTGCAGAGCAAGGGCAGCTTCCCCCTTGGTCACCATCACTCCATCCCTCCTCTGTCCTGCTCAGGGGAGGATGCTGGGAAGCAACTGAGAGTCATAACCTTGGATCTGCCTTAATTCGTGTTTTTTTTTTTTTTTTTTAAGTCACTCACAAGCTTTGAGACATTAGTGACAATTAGCTACAAATGACCATGCCTGAAAACTGTGGTTCTGACACACCTGTATCTTGTACCTGGACACGTGGAACCTACCCCTTCCTGGCCCCCTAGATTCTTTTGCACCGTTCCTAGTGACTTCAGTGGCCAGGCATGCAGATGGGCAACAGGAAGGAAGGTTCTACACAGGTTCCAGGAGCAAAGGGGCTGGCTGGCCAACCTGCTGGGAGGCCTGGCCTCTGGGGTCATAGCCCAATGCTGGAATCATCAACAGGAGGATGGGGCTATTGCTCTAGGCACTCCTGATTGGGCGGCCAGCCTGGCTCACAAACCCTTGGAAAAGTCAGTTTGTATCTCTGGTGCTGCCTCTTTACCTTGAGTTTTACAAAATCAAGTTGCCAATAAAGCCAGGGACAAAAAATAAAAAAATAAAAAAATAAAGCCAGGGACAGAAAGGGCAGGCAGAGGGAAGAAACATCTGAGCAGCTGCCCTGAGCCTGGACACCTGGATAGCCTATCTCTTAGAGATCTGCCTCCTCGACAGACACCTGCCTGGACCTGAAGCTGACCTGCCAGGTCACACACCTGGGCACGGGGGAGAGCCAGCACTTGTCCAAAAATTCACGCTCCTCCCCTAACTTCACCTGTATTTGTCACACTGCTGGCAAACCAGGTTGTTTCAGGTGGAATCTGGGTGGACATTTTTTTCTTTTGAGACATTACGTATTTGCTTAAATGTGTATTAGGAAAAATAAGGCAAATTTGATAGAAGAGTTACAGACTTCCCATTTTAATAGCTTTATTTTAAGTTGAAGAAGCATGTTGACATAAGCAGATCTGGTTAGTCATCGGTGATAATTGCCACAAAGAGAAACCTGGGGTGAACGTGGGAAGAGCACTAGGTGAGACGCTCCCCCTGCCCGCATGGTCTCCCTCCCACAGAAGCGTGCTTCTAGGGGCAGGTGTCCCTGGAAAAGCAACTAAAAGATGCTCTGGCCCTTCTGTATTCATATTTCACCAACCGACAGAAGACACCCAAGGCCCAACCCCCCTGTGGGTTGCAAAATGCTAATGTGGCTCGTGTGGGAGAAGGTGGAGGAGTCCCTCAGGGTGAGGTGAAGTGAGGTGAGGGGGTAGGTGTGCGTGGACGGGGTGCTGTGCAGAGGAACAAGGTACAAAGGCACTGGCTGGGAGGGGCAGGGACTACCAACTCCCCCTCTCTGGTCGGCTGCCCACCCCTTCACCCCCCCCCCCGCCCCCAGGTCGCTTGGACGGCCTCACTAATTCCAGGTGCAAGGTGTGCAGACACGGGCCTGGGTGGAGTGGCAGCTACCTGGGCTCTGGGCTCTGCCCACCAGCCTCAGGAGCCCTGCCTGCAGCCAGGCTCGGTGTACCCAAAGGGGCGAAAGGCCACCACCTGGCCCTTTACAACCAGACCAATGCCACCCTCGCAGGAGCTGTGTTGGCCTGGGCTCTGCCAAAGCTGACCTGGGACAGCAGAAAGCAAAGTCCCAGCAACTTGCTCTGTCTCGGCCTGGTGCCTCAGTTCAGCCAGCCCCAGGGCCAGGCACCACTGGCCTTCCCACTCCCTGCGGGGCACAGCCAGGCTCGGCGTGGCTGCTTTTCTTCCCCAAAGTCTGGTGAAGAACCCGAAGCAGGATTTGCACCTGGCCTGTCAGACCTAAGAGTCCACGCCGTGGGCAGCTCCACGTCATTATACAATGAGCACATTCACGATTGCTTCTGCCAGCTGCTGAGGCTGCCTCTGTGGGACGGAGACCCTGCGGGGGTCTCACCTGGTGCTCTTCCCACATTCACCCCAGGTTTCTCTTTGCAGCAATTACTACCTATGATTAACCACATCTGCTTACGTCAGCACGCTTCTTCAACTTAAAGCTATTACAATGGGAAGTCTGTAACTCTGATATCAAATTTGCTTTATTTTCCTGAATACACATTTAAGTAAACATGGAACTTCTCAAAAGGAAAAAAGTCCAAGGGCACACCTCACCTCCAGTGAGTGACCTGCAGCCTCTCCCTGAGGACCCTGCCTGCAAGAGTTCCCCACTGGCCGGGAGGCCTGTGGTCCCCGGGCTCTCCGGAGCCTGGCCCCCAGCAGACCAGCGCCCAGGGGCTGCTTTTCAGGGTAGGCAGGGGTCACGAAAGGGGCCTAGGGCAGGGCCAGCCTGCACACAGACAGTGGAGGGTATGCAGGGTGTTTCGCTCCTGACCCCCGTTTTTGGCTCCAGCCCCAACCATGGGTGACTCCCCAGGTGGTGAGATGCATCTAATGTCTTCATAGCCTTAAAAGTGGCTCAGAGCAGTGTCCTGGCAGCAGAGCTCTCCAGTGTGTCTGGACTTCACAACCAAAATCCTACAGAGGTGCCCCAAAAAGGGGGTCCCTTGCATGCTTTGAGGTCATCAAGTGGGATCTGCCAGTCCAGGTGTGGCCCTTCAAAGGTCATTGTACATACCGACCCCCTGGGCTGAGTCACCTGCCTCAGCAGGCCTGAGGCTCTGCATTTCTAGGCCCCCAAGGGAGGGCCATGCTGCTGGTTCCACAAGCCACGCCTTGGTAGAGTTGAGCCATTTTCTTTCCAATAGTCACAAAAGGGCCAAATTAGAACCTGCTGGAGCCCAGCCAGTGTGGAGTACGCAAATGGGGCATTTTCTCTGCAGTGGGAGGGTTGTAGAGGGGACAGCTCTCTCAGGGACACAGCTGCAACCCTGAGCAGCCCTCAGCCCTTGGAGAACTAGGCCTTTCATCTCTCAGTTCATACTCCGAGGGGAATCCATTACTTGCGCCCCACCCCCACCCCAGCCTCCCAAGAGTGAACATGGCAGCTCTGTCCCTCACCCCCAGGGGATAAGTGAGGTCATTCTGGGGCTGCCCTTGCACCCCAGGCAGGGTCCAGAGAGGGATGCACTCCTCTAGCCCCTCACTCCCCTGAAGTCCTGCTGATCCCATTTCTTGGCCATCTGGAGAATGTTCCTGATGCTATGACCCAGAACTAGGGATAGAACTGGACAGGTGTGAGGATGACATGGGTCAGATGGGGTGACAGGCAGTGGGCACTGGAGAGAGAGTGTCTGATTCAAAGTCCCCTTCTTGTCCCCTACCAGTAGTTGTGTGAACTTGGCTCTGCCTCAGTTTCCTGATCTATGAACTGGACATAGCACCTGCCTTAGAGAGTTGCTAAGGATTGGATGAGAAGATGCACGTGGTCTGCCTGGGACACAGCGGGTGCTCAACAAATGGGGGCCCTCACAAAGATCTGAAGGCGATAAAAACCCTCATCTATGACAGAAGAGGTTAGCAGTCACAGGCAGGGACAGGGGAGGGTCAGAAAGGGCACTGGACTGGGATGTGCTGTGTGTGCAGCTGCCTCAGTGCACCGACCACCCGCTCCTGCAGCGCACCTGGATCGATCCAGGACCATGATTGTCCCGGCACCACATTTCCCAAGGGCACCCGGGATAACCTCACCCACCACCTCACTCACCGTCTTTCACTGGGGAGGACACTGGTGGACTGAACACAATCCCTGTGTTGAAGCCCCAACCCTTGCATGAAGGTCCTTGGAAGTGGGGGAGGTTCTGGGAGATGATAAGGTTCAGATGAGGTCATGAGGTGGATCCCCTGTGATGGGATTAGTGTCCTTCTAGGAAGAGCCACCAGAGCGCCGGCTCACACTTGGCCACGTGGGGACACAGCAAGAAGACGACTGTGTGCAAGCCAGGAAGAGAGCTGTCACCAGAGCCCAACCATGCTGGCACCCTCACTTTCAGCCTCGGGAACTATAGGCCTTGCCCCATCTCTTTTCCCCCTTCCAGGCCCTCCCAAAACCCCTGCAGAAGCCAGATGACTGCAGGTTCACTTGGCCAAGGGCCAGAAGACTGGGTGGACTCAGTTTCACCTGTTTCATTGTGCCCTCTCCCTAAAAGGACCTGTGGTCACGGAGGGGTGGCTTGGGCTGGGACGACTGTCAGGGCTCTTGAGTGGGGAGAGGGCATTAAGGAAGTGG